TAGATTTTTAGGATACACAGATTTGGCTCAACATATAAATGCAAGAACCTGCTTTCTGTCAGCTCATTATAGGTGCATATATTAATGTAATGTGTTCTCACAATAAATTGATCTCCTATTTTAAATTTATAGTCTATAGGTGGCAAATTATTTACAGTTAGAAACACCCTTAAAAGAAAATATCACCGATGTAAGCTACATTTTTAATGTGCAGTGCTTAAGGTGGAATCATTTTCACAGCGTAATACTCGATACTTTTGAGTACTTTTAGAAGGGCGACGTTTTACTCATCCTTTGGCTAATTTTTAGATAAGATGCTTTTACCCTACTTGCACTACATTTTTAGGCAAGTAATGGTACTTTTACTTATGTGTTTTCACCACTGATAAGGTGTCAACATTGGCTATATATTTTTATACGCAGAAAAGAAAAAATCAGATGGAAGAATGGCAGAAAACAATTACTGAACATTACAAAATAAATAAATAAACACCAATACTGACAAGTATTCAATTGTAAACAAGTACTAAAACATTTATACAGTAGTGATGTTGACATTTGGAGAGAAAAAGTATTGACACTGTGTTGGGTGTCTACTTCACCATTTATAATTTCTTGCCAGTAGCTAAAAGCCTTATCTGTGTTTTATAGGGACAATGAAAGCCTTCTATATGCGTGGCAAAGCACACATGGAGGTTTGGGATGAAACCGAAGCCAGAAATGATTTCATGCGGGTGTTGGATCTGGACCCAGGCATGAAAAAGACCATCAAGAAAGAGCTTGCAGTTCTTAAAATGAGAATGGAGGTAAAAAATGAGGAGGACAGGCTGAAGTACAAGGGCATGTTTGCAAAAATGGCAAGCGAGCAGGACTCCCTAGAGCTTGAGAATCCAGACCAAGAGATCCCCGAGCAAACATGTCAAGTACAAGACATGGAAAATCCAGAGGAAGCACCTGGTGAAGAACGAGCAAACTCAATGCAAAAAACTGCAGAGATGACTTTAGCATCAGATCCAGAACAAACAACTACTGCCCAATCATGCTCTGATAATGTGATCCCAGAACAACCAACGACTCAAGATCTGACTGCAGAGCAAACTACCATAGAAGAAACTGCTCCAGAACAGTTCGACACAAATCACACATTTGTGGTGCAATCAGATTCTAAGGAAGCATCACCAAGTCCAGAGCCAATGTGTCTAGAAGCCCAAGATACCGAGTCCTCAGATCATATGACTCCAGGAAACTGACCCGCCAGTCAATGAGTCTTAAGCGTAACAAATTTTTCAAAGGTGATGCAATAATGAAGGTGTTAATGTTCAAAATGTAACAAATATACACACTTTATACTGTTATGCATACTGTTATTTATTAGTAGCAATTATAAATATTTCTTCACTTCCTTTTTTTAGCACAGATTTTTCACTGGTAGAATGCGAAATATTTTAATACGCCTCACAGCAAGAAGGTCGCTGATTCGAGTCCCAGCTGGACCAGTTGGCATTTCTCTGTGGAGTTTGCATGTTCTCCCTGTGTTTGTGTGGGTTTATTTCATGTGCTTCAATTTCCCCCACAGTCCAAAGACTTATAGATTAATTGGATGAACTAAACTGGCCGTATTGTATGAGTGTGTGTATGACTGTAAGAGTGTATGGGTTGTTTCCCAATGCTGGGTTACGGCTGAAAGGGCATTCGCTGCGCAAAATATATGCTGGAATAGTTGGTGGTTCATTCTGCTGTGGTGACCTCTGATAAATAAGGGACTAAGCCGAAGGAAAATTATCACAATTTTGTAATATTTTAAACCTTTAGCCAAATTAAACTCTGAAGCTCGGTTTTGTTAAAGAAATGGCACAAAAGCAACACTTAAAGGGGATAAAATGATAAAAAGTCAACTCAACAAATATTTATGTTGCTTTAACTTATTTTAACAAGCTAATCAAGCTTCAGTTCTTTGTTACACTATCTTTAACTTCATATTTCTAGTCAGTTTGATTGATGTCAAACAGTTGAGATGACTCAAAGTTAATTTAACTCAACTCAAAAAGTTCAGTCAGCAAGATTAGTTTTTTACAGTGTATTGATCCTGTAGCATCCAATGGAAGTCTGTAAGGCGCTTTTCTTCTGCTTTTGCTGTTTATATTGTGAGACTGAATGTACCGTAGTGACTGTAGTTTTGTTAATCAGCCAATAAAAAAGCACTGACTCATCTGCTGTCCTGGTGGCTTATAATTCATTAGCATGTTGTTTCAAATCTCTATGATAACTCCTTACATGTCCCAGTATTTATTCACTGGCATAGCAAACAGTCTAGTAATTCATATATTCAATATTATGTTATATAATATGAATAATTAATCTTGTTTAAGCCATTCAAATATTTAACCGACTATTCAAATGTATTTAATTAATAGAGCTCTCCCTGATATCTTGATTCTCAACCATTACTGTAATATTGCTATTGCACGGAAAACTAATAAATGATGCCTTATTCTGCAGAAATAGCTGACACAACATAATATTACACTGGCTTTCAAATACATCAGGTTGTTTTTTGTTCAAAAAACCTTTACGTACCCTTTGGGCTAAGCAGTGGGGTTTATCACGGTGCTCAAAATATGCTAAGGCTTCTTTTTCTACACTGCTCAACCCTAAATGCCATGTTTAACCTTGGGTTTTTCCACACAGTCCAGTGTGGTGAACTACAGTATGTGGTTGCCAACAGCCACAGGAAAGGCAACGCTACCATCCTACTGAAAGAAAAATGATTAATCTCTTTGGGATGGGGGAGACTTAGTACAAAATTTCTCAAGAGCACTTTTTGAAGGTGACACATCCATTTCATGTAAGACTGTACTTTTAAGTTACTGGTGTGAAGCGACGCAGTGGCCTGACGTATGTAGTGCTGTCGCCTCACAGCAAAAAGGTCAATGGTTGGAGCATCGGCTGGGTCAGTTGGCGTTTATGTTTGCATGTTCTCCCTGCGTTCACGTGGTTTTCCTCCGGGTGCTCCATTTTCCCCACAGTCCAAAGATATGCGGTACAGGTAAATTGGATAAGTTAAATTGTCCGTGGTGTATGAGTGTGTGTGAATGTTTCCCAGAGATGGGTTGCAGCTGGAAGGGCATCCACTGCGTAAAAACCTGCTGGATAAGTTGGTGGTTCATTCCGCTGTGGTGACCCCAGATTAATAAAGGGACTAAGCCGACAAGAAAATGAATGAATTAAGTTACTGTTATGATTACACAACAACACATCAAATCTTGAGTAATCTTGACTACACTCTCAGAAATAAAGGTACAGGAGCTGTCACTGGGCGGTACCTTTTCAAAAGATACGTTTATACGCAAACAGTCCACAGTCGTACCTTAAATGTGCATATTAAAAGCACAAAAACCCAGAGCCAATGTGTTCAGAACAAGACACTGAATACTCTGATCAAATGACTCCAGGAAACTCACCGCCAATCAATAAATCTTAAGCATTACAGATTTTTTCAAGATTGATGCAATAATAAACTATAATGAACTATACTGTTATGCATACTTAAAATTCAGGGCAACCACTGTTTGAAACATATGATGGATAAGTTGGCGGTTCATTCGCTATGGCGAACTCTGGTGAATAAAGGGACTAAGGCGAAGTAAAATAAATGAATGAATGAATATGAAAGTTAATACCATATTTGTCTGTGTGGAGTGTGCGTGTTCTCCCTGCCTTCGCGTGGGTTTCCTCTGGGTGCTCTGGTTTCCCCCACAAGTCCGAAGACATGCGGTACAGCCGAATTGGGTATATGCTAAAATTGCCCATAGTGCATGACTGGGTGAGAGTGTATGGGTGTTTCCCAGTGATGGGTTGCAATCGCTGCGTAAAACATATGCTGGATAAGTTGGCGGTTCATTCCGCTGTGGCTACCCCAGATTAATAAAGGGACTAAGCCGAAAAGAAAATGAATTAATGAATAAATACCATATTTTTGGTACCAATAATACCAAATTGACATGTGATATTCGACTTGGTCATACATTCTTAATCTCTGTGCTGCATGATGTACATTCATTGTTCACATTACTTCTGTATAAATACGTCTACATTTGCAAAAATCAATTATACAAAATAAAAATAAAAAACATTTTACATTACATTTTACAACTGTTTTACTACTATTATATAGGTTTAATTTTTTATTTAGTATTAGGAATGTCTATTTATAACAAAATGCAAGTTACATGCTGAATCTGTCCAGTCAATGACACCGACACCACAAATACGCAGATAAGTATGGTAATGACATCATGGTTTAGGACCAGTTTTAACTAACCCCACCTATAGAAGAGTGAGAAATGTGAAGCAATATGATAACCAGCAAACATTTACCCTGGGTTAGAATGACCCAGGATTACCTTTAAAGATAATTTTAAATTGTATTTTAAATAAATATAAAATAATATATAAAACAATAATTGTCATCGACCCCTAATCTGGGAAACTGCTTGGCTATGCGTAAGCACTGAAATGACTAACACACTGAGGTTCATGAAAAAACTTGTAATGGTATCTGTTGAGGGACAGGCTGGATCAATGTTATTACATCATATGATATTGTTTTAAGGGGATTCCCTTGTGTCTCTCTACCCTTATTTTTTCCATCACATTCATATGCTCCTCACGTAAAGCTTGTCATCACCCAATGAACAACACTGCTGTAAAAGACTGATTAAGTTATGATTGAATGAGGAACTGCGCATAGATTATCCAAGCATCTTCCCCTAATTTGGCTAATGACTTAAGCGTGTTGTGCTTGTGCATTAATATGAAAAAAGTAAATCAGAAGGTGCGCATTTTTAAAATATTCTTAATCCACGATTTAACCACTTGATTCCTTAACCAGTGTTTAGCTAGTGGTAAATGCTGTTAAAAAGCTCACAGAGACACAAGGAGGTATTGCAGCATCCCCAGGGGAAGAGCATTACATGGGAAGTCCTGCAGGAGCTCCATCACTGATGCAGAGGAGAGGAGGTGAGAGAGGAACAACACAACTCACTGCTGCGCAACTATACTTTCACCTGCTGCAACATCACGTAACAGTCCAAAGCTGCCGCTCTTTCATTTTTGCACGAGAACATTTGTATCTTTTTTTCAACGCATTTTGCTACGTTTAAGTGATGCTGCTGTGGAAATGCCTCGCATTTCTGTGGTTTAGTTGATGTGTGTGGGCAGAGGAGACGATCTTCCGATCTGGGACTGAACTGAGCGGAACTGAATCCATTAAGCCGATCACACAGAGGATGGACATACATGGGAGAATAACACTACAGCGCATCTTTGACTTGTTTAATTAGTTTAGACTAGAAAAACAACAACAACGACTACATAGATATCTTTAATTCGAGCTATTAACCGTATGAATAAATTAAAACGGGTAATTTTGAGTTGAAGAAATTGTAAATAATGGGAAACTAACGCCGTCCGACTACTTTGATAACATTTTGTAAGCCCCAACAGGAGTTTTTCTTTCAAAGACAATAACAACGTTGGATTTCCACAATGGCAGTAAACACAGATACGGAGTTTGGTAAATCAAATCTGGGGGAGAGTGGCGGCACGCAACCAGCCGAGACGGAGAAACTGCTCGTGACCACCGAGCCCACCGGGGTGAAGACCTCTAGCTCCTTCACCGTCAGTGTCGGGGGCGACAAGACTCTCGACGGGGACCAGAATGGCCACAGTCTGCCGCTGAGGTCCGGTTCGGCGGGGCATCTCGGCGCGGCTCCTCTCTCTCCGTCTAGAGTGAGCCTCAGCCGCACTTCATCCACCGGTAATGCCGTCCAAGAGCAGCAAAAACCCAAAGACTACCTCATACTGGTCATTTTTTCCTGCTTTTGTCCCGTGTGGCCAATAAGCATCGTTGCACTGGTCTATTCAATTATGGTGAGTAGGCAATGGTCAATAAGTTACACTTCCATCCAATTTCAAATAACAATTCAAGAATGGGGATAGCCTAAGTATACTTTATTATTTAGAGCAACAGTCACGCATTTCACACATTGCATAGGCTATAACTGGAAATCAAGATAAAAGTAGCCTATACTTGGACTGGCTTAAAACAAAATTCTGCTTCAAAATACGCGTCCATTGTATGGCAAGCGGGTTTGCATTGAACTACTGTGACTACTAAAACTAACACAAGTTAATTTAACAGCTAACTAAAGCTTTAGTTACCAGTATCTTTTTAAGCTCACTGATAACCTTTTTTTTCACATTTTGTTTGCAGCACAATTTAATAAAAATGTGTCATTATTTTAGAATTTCTTATTAGATTGTTTATGAGCAACTAATTCTTTTGAATTTATTGTATGACATTCCTAAGTTTTTTTATTATTACAAGTTTCTAGCAACATTTGTTTACAATACAGAATATGAATTACATTGTCAGTGAAAAAACATACAAGAAAGAAAGAAAGAAAGAAAGAAAGAAAGAAAAAAAGAAAGAAAGAAAGAAAGAGAAAACAATTAAGAACATGATATAAACTTTATGGTAAGACATTTAAGAACCAATTACAGTATATAAATTAAAATTATTACAAAATGAAATAGTTCTGTTTGTTTTCTTGTTTTCAGATGATGAAATTAAATGTAAATAATGACTAAATTCTTGCAAAAAAACAGGTATGGTTTGGTATTAGTAAATTTGCATTTATGAATTTAGAAAGAAAATAAATTAAATTTAAAACAAGACAAGCAGTTCTTTTAGGAGAGGCAGATTCATAACAAGCAAAAATGATTTCTTTTAAATTAATAGAAACGTCTTGTTGTATATGATCATTAATAAATAAGCGTATGTTTTTATATAACCTGTTCACGCCCAAGTGATGTTTAGGAGCTGGTTTAGGGGCGGGGACATCATGGGGCGGGTTCAAATCTTAGATCTGGTTGGTCTGAACATTCATGCCTTACTTTTTCTTTAAATCTGACATTTTTTTTTTGTTTGATTAAAATAAAACAAATTCATAATAAATTACCACCTCATTAAATAACAATGTTTTGCTGAGATCAGGGTGGTTAGGGGTTTTGGCAACCTGTGCATACTTTTTTATTCTCTTATTTTTGTAGAATTCAAATGTATGAATTCATAAAATCCAGATCTAATAAAATACTTTTACAATTAATTCTTTTTTTTCCGAATAGGTTTTGTATTCATTTAAAAAAAGCCATTTATTCATTACTGACTAGATTTTTATTTCATAATATTATTTGCTAAGTTCCCCTCAGTTTTCTTGTATAAACTGACATTATAGTCAACTTTATTAGTAGTACTTCATTCCATTTTTAAAAATCCTATTTTATATATATATATATATATATATATATATATATATATATATATATATACACACACACACACACACACACACACACACACACACACACACACACACACACACACACACACACACACATAAGAGAAGATAATTATCAATAATATTAGTTTCAAATGGGTTGATTTTAAACAATCAATTAAAAGCATCCATTCATCAATTAATGTACTAAAATAAAATAGAATAAATACAAGTTAGTTTTAAAAGCACTAGGTTGGTTTGAAATTGATACTAGTGAAAGTAATTGCTAAAATGGCTTGCCATACTCTTGCAAATCATATGCAAAAGCGCAGGAGCTGCATTGAGAGAGCAGAGCACAGATCCACTGACAGGTGTGATTTACAGCCCTGCATATGCTCGCAGTAAACGGACCTGACTGTGTGCTGGGGAGCCATTCGCCAGAAAATTGGTGCAGACTACCTCCACCGCACATGAAGTACGGCCACAGTAGAAACTCTGGGGACCGCAGAGCAAAACAGTCAATTAGGATGCATGAATGCAGTGCAAACTGTTCCTTAAAAGTGAGCCTTATATTGAATGTCAGTTTAGAAGCTTTAGGTTATTAAAACAAAAACATGCTCCCAAAGCATAGAACAACAACAAGAAATGATTTCCTACATACTGTATAGGGTGTGGTACTATTTATCTGTATTTAATGATGACGTACAACAGAGTGCTTCCCTCATATGACTAGAAAGAAACTGTTTAGCTAGATCCTTTGTTTTATAATAGTAGGGCAGCATTTTTCCCTTGTTCCTCTTGTTAGCGTGTAGCCCTCCTTTTCTAATCAAAGATGAGTGCTTTTGTATTCACTTTATATCCTCTCGTTCTGAAAGAGTATTACCTCAGCAGGATACAAATGAGACTTTCCAGCACAGTCACAGGAGAGCGGCTTTTAAACACATCATTTCAGTAAATTTAATAAGACACTGTCAAATTCAGCCTTAAGTGAATTTTGAAGCATTGCTTGTTACAACTTTCTAAGTGTTTCAGTGCGACATGCATTACAGGAGAAACACAAATTAAAGCATTAAATTCTCATCAGTGGAAAGGCAGCATACAAATGGCCTCCAGTTTCTTGTAAATATCAAAATCCTGTATACATTTACAGTGTGGAATGCTCCCTGCTGTGGCTACATCAGAAGCTGGACCTGTGAGATCTGACTCAGCGCACTTTGTGGTGCCTTTGTGTTGAGATAGAGTCCTGAATGCCCCTTATTAACTGTAATTTTTGAGGTTGCATTGAAAGCTATCCATATTCTAGTGAAAATAACTGTAGTGCTGTTCACACTCATGCAAATGGAATCTCCTTTAGCCTCATCTGTCCAAAAATGCAATTAACCCTTCGTTCCATGACAAACAGATTGACAGCTGAAAATCAAAAACCTATTCATTTATATAAAAAAGTACTTATTGATTAATATTTTTTTTAATTAAGAAATAAATAGATGGATTGATTTATTGATTGACAGAAAATGAATCCCAAAATAAATCTGTACAGGATTAGAAATTGCATCATAAATTATGTGGGTGTAAGGCATAAACTGAAAGTGCATCAAAACTAAATGTAAAAAGATTATTTAAAAATCACTGGGAAATATCATACAAAAAAAAAGAGGTGAGATTAAATAAATTCACATTAATTAGACATTATTTTGACAAACTAATTGTTTTTCCTTATATTGTGACATATGTTTAAAATAATAATTTATATTTAAATTTAACTTTTAACTAAATTAGATTTAGCTTTTTGAACAACGTTGGGTGTAAGTTGTTGATTAGATTACTAGATGGTTGTAACCGTTATTGGCTAATCTCGCACGCAAGACAGCTTGCAACCAGGCACAGTTAAGAGTTCAAAGGGCACTAAATGAGCAATATCACACTAGTAGCATGGCAATATGGCTGTATATCTAACACAATCTCACGACAATTCGTAACTTTTTGATTAAGTTGCTAATTTGTGTGAATTTGTATAATGTAATTTGTACAATTTAGTAAGACTTGCTCATCCACCAATGACGGTTGCGTTTAGGGGTGGGGTTAGGTGCCACGCTTCATCCTTACGTTTCATCCAAAGATCAGGCTGGTATATCAGCTCTGGTGGGAGGTGTGTGTTGGCTCGAGGCCGCAGGCTAAGCACCTTAGTGTTCCACCAGTGCTGATATACAGCCATATTGCACTGCTACGAATGTGACATTGCATTTATAAAACAGCTCGTCAGCATAAACGTGTATATAAACAAGAAAAATCAAACCCGAAGAGCCTCGAAACCCCTCTGTTTGAGGAACTACTTTCTTCCGCCACTCATTCACGATTCTCTAGCAAAAAGTCTAAAGTGGTGAAAAATCAGGTGATTTTGCTCACATTTTAAGATAAGGCATGACATGCCATAAATCTACAGAGATTTCCCAGTATTTCTGTTTCAATCTGGATTTCTTAATAATTAACCCTGAAAAAAGCCAGCGCAAAGCAAACACAACCAGTTTCTTTGGTATTAATACAGCAATACAAAATACAAAAGAGAGGGATCGACACTTACCTGATTGATTTTTAATGATTTGTGTAGCTGTAGTTTGAAATTTATTCTGAGAAAATGCTGTTAATCTCCCCTAAGGACTTATGCTGTCTCTGTCGCCATCTTGTGGCAGAAGGTCAACCGTCACTTTTTTTGGTCTGCTCAGGAAGGCTGATGGCGGCTGAGGAATTGAATCCAATGCTCCGAGATTATAATTATTTAAAATAGGCACTATCCTCATAAACAAACTGCACAGTTGCAATGTAATCTACATTCTCGACTAAAAAAAGCCTCAAAAGGATATTATGTTGCCCAACTGCAGTAATATTTGTCAAACTGTAGACAAAGGTTCCTCTGCTTGTCTCTGTATGTGGGCGGAGTAATACACAAGGGTGAAGGGTTAAGAGGCTGGACGAATGCTGTTACTGGCAAAATAAAGCACGGTTATCAGCCAATCAGATTCAAGAACCAGACAGAACTGTTGTAGGCTATAAAAGAAATATTTCAAAATAAGAGCACAAAGAAGAAGAAAAATCAGATACAATAAAGGCTTTTCACTCTTCAAAAAGTTATTTATCAGATATTATCTTGATTAAAGTTTCACTGTGATCATAATTTAGCCATGTTTATCAATTAACCCAATTAATTAATTCAAATATAGTTGTTTTATGAAAAGAAAATAGAAAAAATCTTAAGATTTCCCTTGTAATTCCTTTTTTCCAACATGATCAAGTCCTAATAAAACGCGTGACTTTCAGTGGTATACATTTGATGCGATTTTTTGTTTGGTTTTGATTATAATAAAATTAGGATGACACCAGATTCACTGTCCAGTAGCTGCAGACAAACAATTCAATACTCAGAAAGCAATTGTAACCGACAGCATTTGTACTGTAGGTATGCATCGGGAACTCTGAAATCAATGAGCTTACAGAGGCAATGCAGTACGAATAAGATGTTATAGCAAGCTGAAGCTCACGGAAGCAGAAAGGGGTGATTTGCTTGTCCTGGGGAGGTGCAGTAGATTTTATTGG